CCCCAAAACCCCAAAACCCCAAAACCCCGAGACTCCTTTATTTACTCAAATTTGTAATAGTGAAATTATTAACAACTGGAGCCTTATTAAAATATTTTGATTAAATAAAAGGAATGAGTGAGGAAAATCTATAAAAGGAGTCTCAGTTGAATACCGATGATTAGCAAATGATATTTTCTGATTCGACTAGTGAAACGCTTTAGACATCACCAACTTAAACAAAAGGCAGCGAATACATTAGTTACAATGAACGTATTTAGCAAACTGAAACTATGGAATCAATGGCCGGAGAGACCTAGTAAGAGGATTAGTAAATAAAAGATAATAAAAACAATGAGGATGAGGGTGAAGAAGAAGTTAAGACACCAGAATTAGGAATTTAAGACTATGAATTACTAGAATAAATTGGCAAAGGCTCATTCGGTAGAGTGTTTGTCGCCAAAAGGGAAGAAAAGATTTTTGCAATCAAGGAGCTTTAAAAAGAATTCATAATAAAGGTAATTATTAATATGCATTATTTAAGTAGACTGGTAAAACTGAGAGTGTATTCAGAGAAAGAGATATCTTGAAAAAGCTTAATCATCCCGCAATTCCTAAGTTATATCTTACATTTTAAGTAGTATACTTATTATTAATGATTCGTAGGATGCTAGCAACTTATACTTTGTTATGGAGCATGTTCCTAAAGGTTCATTACAAGATCTTATGGATCATAGTAAACAGGAGGGAAAGAAATTTAATCTTCATTTGGCTTAATTTTATTCTGCTTGGTTGATATTAGGATTGGAATATCTACATTCTCACTCAATTGTCCATAGAGACTTGAAACCTTAAAATATATTAGTAGACTAAGATCATTACTTGAAAATTGTTAGCATATTTACTATTTTAGTTATATTTTTTAGATTGATTTCGGAGATTCAAAAGAAATAATTGAAGAGGATTATACTTTTGAAAGAAGGCAGTCTGGCAGATAAAGTGCTGCTTCATTCTCTTCATTGTTAAATACAGATAAAGAAAAACCAAGAGAGCAAACCTTTGTAGGAACTCCACTTTATGTTGCCCCTGAAATGCTAGAATTTAATTAGGCTGGAAGCTATACAGATTTATGGGCATTGGGATGTATCATTTATTAAATGCTTTGTGACAATCAGACTCCATTTAGGGGCAAAAACTATGATGAAGTTTTTCAAAATATATTAGAAAGGAGATTAACTTTTCCAGAGGATATTAATCTAGATGGTAAAGATTTGATAGATTAGCTTTTGGACTATACACCTGAGAACAGAATAGGCTACAGAAATTACAAAAAATTAAAAGAACATCCTTTTTTTAAATCAATTGACTTCGATCTCTTAACTTAATAGCAGCTTATCGTTCCAGGAATGGCACATATGTCTTAAATCCATGATATGCCTTTGCTAACAGATGATCATGAGACAACATTTAGTGAGTTTGAAATGGTTTAGACCCCTGCTTAGGATAAAAGTAAGATTGACCTGAACCTTAGAGTAATGGAAGGAAAGGTGAAACTTAGGCGCAATCTCATCTTTTACAAAAAGAGAAAAATGATATTACTTGAAGACGGTAGAGTAATCTTAGCTAAAGATAATTTAATCAGGAATGTCTTTGTACTCAATAAATGTACTGAAATATTTTTAGTTAAAAAAGACCGATTTACCATTAGAACATAGCAAATTCATGAAAATATTGAATCTTCAGATGCTGAAGTGTGGGTTAACATTTTAAATTCAATCAAGCTAATGAATACCAAAAGTTAATGAGAACAATGAATGTTATGAGTAAATATGAGCAAAAGTGGTTTCACAAGTCATTAGGATCAATACTTAGCAAGTATGAAGTTAGAAATAAAGTCTTAATAAATTTTTAATTGAATTTTTACATTAATAATCTTTTTATTGGTTAATGATTTTAAATGAAATAATTATACTATAGAGAAAAAATACTCATAACTTGCATTATATAAGTTTTAAGTATATGAATGGCTATCCAAATGACTAGAATATTCGTTATATTTATCAGATACGCTTTATTGTCGAAGAAAATAGTTTACTATTTGATTGTCTTGCTGGAGCTGCTTCTTATTATGAAGATTATTTTACTTATGATGAAGCAGTAGATTTTCTCATTAATTGCTAGAAGTTCTATGGGGCTGTGTTACCTTAAGATATTGTGCTGTTTTTTGTGCTTGCAGTCCCAGATCTTGAAGATGGTCTTTTCATTTTTGATGGAGGAATGCCTTAAGATGTATTTGAATGATGTAGTCTAATCTGTTGAGTCTATGAAAATTATTATTGAATTTATTATTGCTAGCTTATGTTGACTGTTTGAGAAGCTTTTCTATTATAGAAGGATGGCCCTTATGATTAATTAAATGATGATGTTTCTTCTAGGTTTTCATTTACTTTAGCAGTATTATATTCCTATCTTGCAACCTAGATCATAGGAGCAGGAATTGGGGCTCTGCCTCCTTTTTATATGAATTACTACTCTTAAGTGTTCAAGTACATTTAGTTCTAGCTTAATGCTGCTAATTGATAATCGTAATAGTATCCATTAAAGAGAGCTTGGACTGAGTTTCTTCTTAGCATTAATACACTCTGTTTAAATTACTCCTCTTCTTGATCTTTCCAATCTTCATTTATATTTTTTTAATCGAAATTGTCCTCTTTAGGTGGAACAAAGGGTGGCTTGATTTTTCTGTCCCAGAGATCCTACCAAGGGAAGTCCTTTAGCCAGGGGTGATTTTTAATTTCGTTTGGACCATTTAATCCTAATCTATTATTAGGTTTTCTTTGTATGGTCTAGAAAATTATTTTTTTTAAAAAAGTTTAAATACTTTATTTATGAAATCTGCTGCTTCCAAAGACCATCCTCTAGGGATTTCATTTCTTTTTATCTAAACTTGCTTTGATAAGATATGATCTCTTATTTCTTTTCTTGTTTTTCCAACATATGGTCTCTAAATAACTTGTTAGTATTAAAAAGATTACCCTTCCAAACATGCATTCAAATGCCATGACTCCAACGGCAAAATAATCAACAGCTACTCCATGATTTTGTCTGCACATTACTTCTGGAGCTAAATTTTCAATATATTAATATAATTTATTACCCATATAGCCTGGAGTTCCAGATGTATCTTAAGCGTTTTCTGGCCTCCAGACTCTTGCAATCCCAAAGTCTGTTATTCTCAAGTATCCTTAAATTATTATTGTCATTCAATTTAAATACCTTGATCATCAAGGACCAAATTCTCTGGTTTTATATCTCTATGTATGATATTTTTATTGTGGACATACTCTAGTCCAGCTACTAAGCATGCAATCATAAATCCTACATTTAATATCAAGCAATAAGCGATAATTACTTGTTTACTCCTCAGAAAACTTTCTATACTTGCATATATGATACCTCAAATCTCCTCCATTTAGAATATCCATAACCAAATACAAATTTTCTCTATCTTAGAATGCATAGTACATATTGACGATAAAAGGATTGTGAAGCTAAGTGAGAATTTATCTTTCGTTCATTACAGACTTAATGCTTCGCTTTGTAATAATTCTAGCCTTAGACATCTCTTTCATCGCATATTATTACTTTGATTTCTTCCTCTCGACTTTCCATACTTTGCCGAAACCTCCTTTTCCAACACAATACTAATATGTAAAATTTGCTTTGGTTAGTGCTATATTAAAAGTAAATTGAGTTGCTAATTTGATTTTATATTCTTACCAGTGACGTTTTCCGTCTCAAATTCAGACTTAAAATGACAATTTCCCATTATTGTTTATCTCTTGATAAATATATTTACGTAAATAAATAAGCTCTTTTTATTATTATTCTATTAAATTTTCATGTATTTTAGTAGTTTCAAGACTTCTTTATAAGTCTTCACTACTGTATCACGGGGTTTTGGGGTTTTGGGGTTTTGGGG